CGCCCCCCACCCCTTCACCCCCTCCCCAGCCTCCTTGTAGGAACTTCCTTCCTCCTTTGGGACGTGAAGGGGTCAGATCAGCTCCCTCAAGGCCTGGGACCTTCCCAGGAACCTCTCTTCCATCCACGCATTCTGCTGGTCCTTGGGGGCCACGTGTTCTACACTCTGGGGATGTAAGTGTGCGAGCGCCTGGCTTTGTGGGACCCCCAGTCTGGCCGGGGAGACGGCTGTCAGACAATCCCCCAGGAGAGTGTTGATGTCCGCTCTGGCGAGTGCTACGCGGGAGGGGCTCCGGTGGGTAAGTCAGAAGAGCTGGGGGAGGGGGAAGTCAGGGGAGCTGAGCGGGATGAGCAGGTGATAATGGGGTGAATGGGGCGTGGGGGAGGTTTGAATCGGTTTTTGGAGCGAGCAGGAGAATAGGGAATGCGCACAGTAGGACTGCCAGGCAGCTTCGAGGCATCTAGAAACCACACGGGCGCACAGAGGCATTCGATTGGTGTTTGTCTAACGCAGTGGTTCTCAGCCTTGGCTGCACATTAGAATCACCTGGGAATCTTTTTAAAATCCTGATTTCTGGGCCTCATCCTGATCCTGAGGCCCAGAAATCAGGATTTTAAAAAGAATCCCAGGTGATTCTAATGTGCAGCCAAGGTTGAGAACCACTGGTCTAATGCATGGAAGAAATGGCACGCAGGTGATCTCCGTCTGATGTTCTTGCGGCAACAGAGAAGCTGGGCCATTTTTTAAATTATATTTTGCGTCCAGCTGGCGTGGCTCAGTGGTTGAACGTTGACCTATGAACCTGGAGGTGAGGGTTCGATTCCCAGTCAGGGCACACGCCCGATCCATTCCTGGGTTGCAGGCTCGATTGCCCCACATGCAGGAGGCAGCAGTCAATGATTCTCTCTCATCACTGATGTTTCTATCTCTCTCTCCCTCTCCCTTCCTCCCTGAAATCAATAAAAATATATTTAAAAAATAATAAAATTGTATGTTGCTTCTCTGTAGAATGGCCTTCGGAGAACGGACTCCCTGAGATCTGCACTCCTAAGCAGGCATCACACTCTCCCGTCAGCCGCCCCTGCCGCCCGCAAGGCCCCACGTGGGTGAAGAAAAGTCACCAGCTACTCCACCAGGAAACGCTCCGCCGTGCCAGTGACGTTGGCGATGTGCCACAGGCGCCCACGAGGTATGTCCGAATGCTGGGCGCCCGGGAAACGTAATAGTTCAACCAGCACAGCAAACCAGGCTGAGATCCCGTGAAGGACTCAGACATTGAAAAAAAAGGCGGGGGGGGGGGGGGTAGCTTTTTCAAAGATAAAATGGTTTGGTTTCTCAAATGGCCATGATCTACAGTGTAAGTACCGAGTCCCTGAACCAAGGCAGAATGGGGAAATAAATCAAAAATACAGGGGAGGCCCCATCCAGTAAGCGAACCGCCTTCCAGCTGCTGGAAAAACACTGCAGTGCCCTGGGGTGAATAAATAATAAAAGGCTAGGGAAACAATACACCCTGAAAACACCCGTCCCTCCCTCCGTGCTGCTGGCCGGACAGCGCGGGCGGGTTCAGGCTGCCGGGCCACACAGCCAGCGAGCATGTATTTACCCATAACACGGGGTCCTTTCCAGAGAACCGGGGAGGGCATTCCGAAAACCTGAAGCCGGTCTGGGACCTCATTATTTCACCCCAAGCTCCAGTATTCACCCCTGAGGCACTGTGCCCTGCTATCTGGACTAGGTAAATGCTAGGAATAAGAATTGTGGGGGTCTCGCCCGGTCAGTGTGGCTCAGGGGTTGAGCATCAACCTATGAACCAGGTGGTCACAGTTCAATTCCCGGTCAGGGCACTGGCCCGGGGTGCAGGCTCGATCCCCAGTGTGGGGCTGCAGGAGGCAGCTGATCAATGATTCCCTCTCATCATTAATGTTTCTATCTCTTTCCCTCTCCCTTCCTCTCTGAAATCAATAAAAAAGAAAAAGAAAGAATAAAGAGTTATGGGGGTCTCAAACCGACCACACCCCTTTTTCTTTTTCCCTATAGGTAGGCTCTTGAGATTATATACCCACAAGTAAGACAATACACGATGATTTTCATTCTTACCACACCTTGCCTGTAAACAAACAAACAAACAAACAAAAGAACCCCACCACTTTCATTCCTCTGGGTCCTATCTGTTTCACAATTGTAGCCTCAACTTTGCTTGTTCACACATTTTTATATCATTCCTTAAACAGATGCTATCCCACCATCACAAGCAACTTACACAGCAAACAGGTACAGAACACAACACGAATGCCTCCTAAAAACAACAACAACATAAAGGTGGAAGTAATAGTACTGCAGAATCACAGACTTCCAGAGTGAGAGAGGGCTTTGGTGAATCAGAGAGAGGGTAACGGCTTGCGCTAGGGAAGAAAGTAGGTGGCTAGGAAAGGCCTAGAAAGAGAAAATGCCCAGTAGAGGTCATTTCTGCAGCCAGGCCTGGGAGCAGTGCACAGAGAAGCCAGCGCCCTGCCTCACTGCACAGCCTCCTGGTTGGCTCGTGGGGGCCAGGGAGCCACGGCAACGGCAGCCCAGGGCGGTGGGCTGACTTCCAGGGCCGCTGTCAGGCGCACCGCCCGCCGTGCAGAGCAGCCCAGGAAAGGAGCTGGTACTTAGGGTCAAGCCACTTGTTCTTGGATGTTAATTGGTCACAGAGCATGTCCTGGGATTTGATTTTACTCCCCTTCATTCTTTTTAAAAAATATATATTTTTATTTATTTCAGAGAGGAATGGAGAGAGAGAGAAATATCGATAACGAGAGAGAATCATCGACCGGCTGCCTCCTGGGGATCCAGCCCGCAACCTGGGCATGTGCCCCTGACCGGAATCGAACCCAGGACCCTTCAGTCCAAAGGCCGACGCTCCATCCACTGAGCCAAACCAGCTAGGGCTCCCCTTCATTCTTGATTTAACACAATTTTACTCCCCTTCAATCTCCCCTGAAAGCAGAGACGGCCACTGTTACCCCATTTTACAGATGAGAAAGCCAAAGGCTAGTTTTCTTTCTCGACGAGGCCGGCGTGGTGTGGTTACCCAACATCCCATGTGGAGTTACACGGGAGTCTCTGTAGGCGTGGGCAATGAGAACACGAATAGCATCTGCACAGAGAACCACACCCCTGGCCCAGGGCACCATTATGAAGGTTAGAAATCCTGAACTCTGTCCCCCAGGACGCCTCGTTACGCATTTCCCACACAACGCATTAGAAGAGGCGGTCGCAGCCGGGACTCCAGTCCACTGACAAGGACAGCAGCACGTGCCCACAAGCCCCGAAAATCGGAACCCTCCAAGGAGGAGCGAGATCAAGCGGTCAGCCCTGGGTCATTTCAGGAGGTGCCACGACTGTTTCCTCATCTAACCTCTCTGCATTTTTTGTTGTTGTTAATCCTCACCCACGGATATTTCTTCCATTGATTTTTTTAGACAGAGTGGAAGGGAGGGGGAGAGACAGAGAGAGAAACATCGATGTGAGAGGGAGAGAGACATCGATTGGTTGCCTCCTGCACACGCCCTGCCTGAGGCCGGATGTAACCGGGGATCGAGCCTACAACCGAGGCATGTGTCCTTAACTGGAATTGAACCCGGACCCTTCAGTCCGCAGGCCAATGCTCTATCCACTGAGCCAAACTGGCCAGGGCCCAAGGATATTTTTCCATTGCTCTTCAGAGGGAGTAGAAGGAAGGGAGGGAGGGGAGAGAGGGAGAAAGAGAGAAACATGGATGTGAGAGAGACAGCATGGACTGGCTCCCTGGGGGCAGGAAATGAACCTGAGACCCAGGCAGACATCCCTGATCAGGAATCAACCCTGAGATCTGTCATTGCCCAGGCTGATGCTCCAACCAGTGAGCCACCCAGCCAGGGCCCATCTGAATTTTTTTAAAAATCACTTGTTAAACAACAGATTTTCATCTTCACCAAAAGAAGGGATTATTATTCTAAAACCACCTCATAAGTGATGGCAAATTCACATGGCATAATATTACAGTGCAATAGTTAATGGTGAGATCAAAAGAACAAGATATGAAAAGCAAGTTACAAAATATGTGTGAAGTGATGTCACCTTTATTAATAGGTGGATATGTATGAATACATGTATGCATCAATAATATTTATGTGGCCCAGCCGGCTGGCGTTGCTCAATGGTTGAACATTGACCTATGAACCAGAAGATGAAGGTTCAATTCCCAGTCAAGGCACATGCCTGAGTTTTGGCCTCAATCTCCAGGAGGGGGTGTGCAGGAGACAGCTGATCAATGATTCTCTCATCATTGATGTTTCTCTCTCTCTCTCTCCCTCTCCCTCCCTCCCTCTCAGAAATCAATGAAAATATACTTAAAAAATAATACTTATGTGTAGGAAAATGGATGTACCTACTGCAAATATAACAATTATGGGTGATTTGTATTTTCTTTCTCATGCTTTTCTGTGATCTGTACGTACTTTCAATGATTTTGTACCAGACGGTAAAAGTGTTTCTAGACAGCAAATGATGCTCAGACTCGCGCATCTTCACGCCCTCTTGGCGGGAGTGTTAGCAGGAGCAGCTCCCCGGAGGGTCACATGGGCAGCCCTGTCACATTTCCCAGCATTTCTCAGCCACCTCACTTCCACACGTGCACGGGAACAGTCATCACAGATTGTTCGTGTAGCAAAAGACTAGACAACTTAAATGTCCATCCACAGAGAAATGCCAATAAATCAAGCCCACATCTGCTCAAGGTGACGCGGCCGGGAGAGAGGACGCGCGCTTAGGGACTGTCTCTAATCCTGTGACCAGGTGGGAGGAGCAAGGTGCAGAATGCGTGCTGCCGTTCGCATGACGTTACTGTTGAGAATAGACTCGTATGTGCGTGTGCATGTACCGGCTGTCTCCGGAAGGCTCCCCTAGAAAACTAGCACCACGCGGCCTTCAAAGAGGAGAAACAAGGGCACAGGAGAGAGGAGAGCAGGTCGGATAGCTTTCCACTGGGCTGTTGAATTTTTTACTATGCGCATATGTTACTCCAAACGCAACCCCAAACAAAACCCTTAAAACGCCTGGGGGGACGCTGCACCCATTCTCTTCCTAAGGGTGCCAGCACCTGAGCCACGGCCTCTCCCTCTCCGTGCTGAAGGCAGCCCCTTAAAAAAAGCTGCCTCCCGCCAGCGAAACCGGTGGACCCTGCATGCCGCTGTCCACCCAGTGCCCTCAGGGG